GAAGGGGAAGATATGGAGGCAGTGACAGATTTTATTTTCTTGGGCTCCATGATCACTGCAGATGGAGACAGCAGCCACGAAATTAAAAGATGCCTGCTTCTTGGGAGGAAAGCAATGACAAACCTACACAGCATCTTAAAAAGCAGAGACATCATCTTTCTGACAAAGGTCTGTGTAGCGGAATCCAAAAGATGATGTCATCCCTGCCTGTCAATCAGATGATAGGGCAGGAGGGGCAGAGCTAAAAGGACAGTAAGACAGTTGGAAGAGACAGCTAGAGACAGTTGGAATAAGATAGGGATAGAGGGAGTTAGGGACCAAAAGATGTTGAGAAAGTGTTAAGGTTTAGGAATAGATAAAAAAGGGTTCAGAAAAGAAAGTGAAAGATTAAAACATACATGTAGCAGGCAGGAATGAACTTATAAGTAAAACATGGGAGATATTGATTTAAAGTACACAAGAGTTTTGAATACCAGTGATTGAACACATGATTTATTATACATGAACACCTGAACCAGTTATATATTGATTTTCCTTTTTATTTGTTCATTAATAAAAGAATGTTTAATTGAAAACCCCTGATTCCTAAGTTATATGGGCAGCTGCTGTGTGTGGACTTGAATTGGTATTAGGATAATACCTGGTGGCAGCGAAAAAGGGCGAGTTTACCTTTGTGGAGCCCAAAGAAATAAGGGACGCAGAGGGGGATCGCCACAGTCTGCAAAGTCAAAGCTATGGTTTTTCCAGTACCGATGTATGGAAGTGAGAGCTTGACCATAAAGAAGGCTGACCGCCGAAGAATTGATGCTTTTGAATTGTGGTGCTGGAGGAGACTTGAGAGTCCCTTGGCCTCCAAAGAGATCAAGCCTATCTGTTCTGAAGGAAATCAACCCTGAGTGCTCACTGGAAGGACAGATCCTGACGCTGAGGCTCCAATACTTTGGCCATCTCATGAGAAGAGTAGACTCCCTGGAAAAGACCCTCATGTTGGGAAGGTGTGAAGGCAAGAGGAGAAGGGACAACAGAGGATGAGGTGGTTGAACAGTGTCATCGAATCTACCAACATGAATCTGACCCAACTCCGGGAGGCAGTGGAAGACAGGACCGCTTGGCATGCTCTGGTCCATGGGGTCACGAAGAGTCGGACACGACTTAATGACTAAACAAGTTAAATAATTTTGATTTCAGGTTGTGTGCAATTTTGTCTCATTGTGTACAAATCATGTGCAACCCAAAATTGAAGCAAAAGCATTGTAATTAGCTCCAGCCTGCTGGTGGCGGCATTCCCCCCGTACACCAGCAGAGCTACAACAGGATGCTGATCAATACTGCAAAACTGGTTAGCACTTAATATAGATTTATATTAAAAGCCTGCTCCATTAATAAGGAACAACTCCAGTATTTTTGGTTTCATTAAGTTTGACAGTTGTTCAGAACTTGGCTTGCCTTTTATTGAAGTTGATGGAAGTTGTCTCTTGTTTGAAATCATTCAATTAAACTGGGAATTCGAGAAATGTAATTAATGTAAAAAAAGGTAGTTTAGCTGGAGGAGAAAATGTAGAAAACCAGGCTGTAACTTTACTTGGCATCCAATTGCCTGTGATTTTGCTTCTCTGATGTTAGAAAATGTTCACCTGCAATTGTGTGTCAGTACCAGAGGGTGCTTTGATCAGTAGCTAGAGAGAAAGGAAAAATGTAGATATAAAGCCATTAAGCATAATGATTAAAAGACTCAACAAAATGTTGGTGTGAGTAATAATGCTTGTAATTTATTGGAATGCATGGCACATGGTTTATTTCAAAGAATTATCAAACAAGAGGCGAAGGTTATCAAGTCTATTTTAAGTTTTTAAAGTTATTTAAGTTATTGATAATTCAACACAAGGAATTAAATTACAGCTTTAGCAGCGAGAACATGAGCAATGTGCAGATGGCATAGCAAATCTAAGAAAAACATTTTGTTCTGCCTCTTTCAGAGTTCTGCTCCCCCAGCTTAATGGCACTCAGAGAGAATTAGATGGAGCTAAGGATCCAGGAGTGAAAGAGACAGAAATGTTCACTCTGCAGATGCTTTCCCAAGAGTTCATACTGTGCTGTAATAGATTTAGGTTTTCCATATTTCTGGTTGTCAAGTGGAAGAACACATTTGGCTTCCTGTTCACATTTCTTAATGTTATAGTGTAAGGAGTAAAACAGATTTTCTGTGAGCGGAAGATCCCCACAGTGAGCAAAACTGCGCCTTTAGATCCAGCCCTTTGAGAAACAACAGGGTTAGTTTGGGTGGATTTTATTGTTGCTTTTCTCCTGTGTTTAATCTAAAATGTGTATAAAAAGAAGTGAGTTTCCTAATGCTAGAACAAATCAAGTCATGGGTTTTCTCTTAAGTGTTTCATCTCTTTTGAAAATCTGTGTTCTGCATCTATGTATAAACTATAGCCACTGTTTGGAGAGGAAACTACAGTCTACTTCAAATGTATTGGTTCAATTTAGAATGAAAACTGATAAATACAGTACTTACTAAAACAATCTTCTGTAGGCGAAAAACTGTGGAAAAAACTTTCACTCATCGTTGGTGGAATTGTTGGTATTTCCCTGGGAATCCTTACTTCTGTCCATGTGGCTACACTACATGAAAATGATCTATGGTTTTCCAACATTAAGGTAAGAGAACATCTATATTTGCCTCATTTTCCCAAGGCATTGACCACAGTTCTGATGATGCTGAATCTCTTTTACTGGTCCCTCTGCAGTCCATGTATTTCTGCCAAGCTTTTAACGCCTGCTATATCCGCAAACCTTTTTCTCTCTTCATGATTGAACATTTTATTCTGTACCACATCAGCCGGTGTTCTCAGCAGGTGCTGGCGTGGGGACTTACTGAGATGGTACAAAGCTGATAGGTTGCTGAAAATTGTCTTATCTGGTGTAATTGTTCATAATAAAGTATGATTCAGGCTGAATGGATCAAGCAACCTGCTGCATGTATAGAAAGGTTCCTCTAAATCACATCTTGGCTAGTTAAGGATAGCTGGCTCAGACCTTATATGTATTGGAGGTTTGTTTTTGTTTTTGTTTTTTGAACAGATAAATAAAACTTAAAAAATTAGAGAGAATGACTCATCTGTTAGAGAGGAGCCACAGATGCTGATGTGGCCCTCCAAGGTTTGCTGGTGTAACATAATTAGGTGTATTTGCTTGATTTGTGAGTACAAACATTTACTGTAGGCTTAGCCTTGAAGTCCTTAGGCAAGGTACAAATGAATTTTCTTCTGCAATATGTTGATATCACATCCTGTAGTAATAGATTTCATTGTATGGTTCATTAAACTATTCTCATCTCATGATATCATGATAATAACACCCATTTTATCTTTAAATTCCCTATTAGGGCAAACTCTAGTGCAATTTACTGTCAGTTCTTGCAGGGTAAATTGGGGCTAGATGGTGATAGACAATCTGCCAAAAAGAGAGAGAACATTTGTGTCAATGACTTGGTGCTTTAAACAAAGAGATTAGTCCTTTTCAGGCATTATGCATTATGGCTGAATCTTGAAGGGCTGGATGGATAATGGGGACATGGCAATGCATATAAGCCAAACCTATTTCCCTCTCACCTGAAGGACAGTGTTTAACATAAAGGTTTGCAAAGGATCCCTGTGATTGGAAGCTCTGAAGGCTTCTTTGCAGTCACTATAGTTAAACATCCAATAATATTGACAGACTTCCAGGGGGATAGAGTGTAAAGGGTGAGGCTGATATGGATGCTTTTGTGCCCAGGGCCAGAGTAGCCCAATGCAAATTCTGGCAAAGCAGCTTTTCTGTGAAGATAAATGGGAATGGATTTCTATAGGATAAAGAGTTTGAAAATGAACATACCTTTTGCTGCTTCTGATTTGTACAAAGCTGTAATGTCTAAACATGAATTAGCATTTTCTCCAGTCTTGACGAAAAGAACACCATACTGGTGAGTAGTTTATTTAGGTTTATATTCTGCTCTGTTCCCAGGGCCTTAGACAATAGATTTCATTGTACAGTGGTGCCTCGCATAACGATTTTAATTGGTAAAAAAAAAACGTTATATGAAACATAGTTATGTGAAACACCATTTCCCATAGGAATGCAATGGAAACCAGTTAATCCGTTCCAATAGGCACGGATTGCCGTCCTTAAGCGAAAAAACCCATAGGAAACATTGTTAAATGATACAATGTTTCCTCCATTGGAATGTATTGAAGCTGACTCAATGCATTTCAATGGCTTTGCGAAGTCAATTTTTGCAAATTTAAGTGTGTCATAAAAGGGTCAAAAATGGTTTTAAATGCTTGGATTAGCTTCTGCACCCTCTAAAACGGATGCAAAAGTTAATTTGGCTTTGATCTGACTTTTCGTTAATTTATGGTGAATTTTTCCCCCCAACTTTTGACAGCTGTCAAAATCTGACAGCTCCATTGGTTCCTATGGGGGAAGAAAAAATTCACAAAAAATTAACGAAGACTCAGCAACTGTTCTAAATGCTTGGATTCGTTAGAGGACCCCCTAGGTTGTGTGCAAACCTGATTTGGCTTTGATCTGACTTTTCGTTAATTTATGGTGAATTTCTTTTCGGCCCATAGGAACCAATGGAGCTGTCAGATTTTGACAGCTCCATTGGTTCCTATGGGCCAGAAAAAGAAAATTCACCATAAATTAACGAAAAGTCAGATCAAAGCCAAATCAGGTTTGCACACAACTTAGGGGGTCCTCTAACGAATCCAAGCATTTAGAACCGTTTTTGACCCTTCTAAGACACTTTTTAAATTGAAAAAAGAAACATCGTTAAGTGAAGCAGGGGACCTAAAATCGCATTTGTTATGCGAAGCATGGTCCCAAACTTCGCTAAGCGAAAATCGCCCATAGGAAACATCGTTATACGGTGCATATTATTTTCTAAAAAAACACATCGTTATGCGAATTCATCGCTAAACGAGGTACTCGTTAAGCGAATCACCACTGTATAGACAAGAAATTAAGGCATTGAAATAAGAAGAATTTATTATATACTGAACTCCAACTTTCTAGCCACAGAATTCTGTATTTCTGTTCCTTTGAAGTCCCATAGTGAAATTGGTCAGTTCCTGATTGTTTCCCTCCTTTAGTAAACCTGAACACTTGGATCCATACCAGTCAGTTTAAGATTAGCCAGCCAAGAGTTCTATGTGTGTTAATTATATTTGTTAAAGACATACTGTATAGATTTGGTCATTTTAATTCAAGTACAGTATCTGAATTGAGCATTCCTCTGAATTTTTTAAGAATATTTGCTGCTTAATTAATTGGATTATATTTTTAAAAGTAATATGATTTTATTCCTTTTTCTAGTGCATTTTGCTTTCATGTTGAAAGCCAAAACACTATTTTCTGTAATTCTTATTTATTTTAAAGTTGTATCTAGCTTTGGCGTTTACAGCTTTCAAGTACATCACTAATGGTGGAGGCTAGAGCATTTAGTTATGGGATAGAATTTAGAGGTAATCTCACCCCTGATCTTCTTTCCCAAAGTGTCCTCTATATTTGGCTGCTAGGCTGTTAGTAGTACGTTTACCAGCTCTGCAAATAAGTAGATCCAGAACCCTTCATAGATCTTGATGCATTGAGTCATTGTGATGATTTAAGAATCATTTTGTCCTTCCAGTGTATCAGCTATCTCAAGGATAATGGCATTCAGAGGTAGGAGTTGAATGTCATTTTAGTCCCAACTGGAGCAAACCCATTGTATGGGGCTTATATTTTATTTATTTATTTATTATTTTATTTACAATATTTTTAGCTGCACCATTACCACTGGCCTCTGGGCGGCATACAACAATATTAAAACTTAAAAACATTAAAAACATTTAAAAAGACAATACAAAATATTCTATATATATATGATGGTATGCCCAGTGTGGTGTAGTGGATAGAGTGACAGACTGGGACTCTGGCGAACAGGATTTGAATCTCCGATCAGTCATGGAAACTCACTGGGGTAATGGAACTGGTAAAGCCACTCCTTAAAACCCCATACAGTGGTGCCCTGCATAGCGACAATAATCCGTTCCAAAAAATTCGTCGCTATACGGATTCGTCGCTATGCGGGGCAAAAAAGCCCATAGGGACGCATTGAAACCCCTTCAATGCGTTCCTATGGGCAAAAAACTCACCGTTCTACGGAAATCCTCCATGCAGCCGCCATTTTCGCTGCCCGGTAAGCGAGGAAAGGGCGCGAAAAGACTGCGGGCGGCCATTTTGGAACAGCCAATCAACTGTTTTAAAAACATCGTTATGCGATAATCGGTAAGCAAAACGCTTACCGATCATCGCAAAGCAATGTTTTGCCATTGAAAACATCATTATGCGATTGCTTTTGCGATTGCAAAAACCTCATCGCTATGCGGATTCGTCGTTAAACGAATCACTCGTTATGCGGGGCACCACTGTACTTACCTTGAAAATCCTGTTAGAATCGTTGTATGGTTAGTTATGTGCCATCAAGTGATTCCAACTTGATGGTACGCAACTAACTAAATATAAATGATTAGCCCAATGATTTAGGTATCTGGCTGTGGAGCCAACATTTAGGAGTTCAATTCCTCACTGTGCCTCCTTAGTAGGGACTAGACTTGAACTAAAGGGTCCCTTCCAGCTCTGCAGTTCTAAGATTATATTACTGTACTGTTAAACAAGTCACATTGATTTCAGTGGGTCTGCTATACCTGGGATTAAAATTGATTAGCCCTTCATTTCCAAATGAAATGGGTGAAGATCCACAAACATGTACTGTATAAGTATCATAATTTTCACTAAAGCACCACTAGAGTCATGTTGTCAACAGAGTATGTAATAGAGTGACAAAAATGCATGTGTAGAATATACCACACTTAAATATTATTATTCAGCTGTTAACCTATAGAAAAATATAAATTGCAATAGAACATGAAAGATGTAAATGAAGAAAGCAGATGTTATCTTAGTATGAAACAGATGTAAAACAGTAGTGTTTACTTCATAAAGTATGGCATTGGGTTGAATACATCTGGTGTTCAGCTTACAAATTAATAATTTATGTTTGATGCATTCTTGCTAATGAGATCCCCTCTGTGCCCAGCAAATTCTGGAACATTTCAGAGATATTTCCGTTTTTAAAATATTGACTATATTATAATATTGACTGTATTTTTCAGTGTATGTGCAACTAACATGGAAACTTCAGTCATGTAGATTCATGTAAAATGATAAGACCATAGGATCTGACTGTCAGTGTTTCAGGGACTTTAGTGAGCTTAAGCTGATGCAGTGGTGCCTCGACTTACGAACGTCCCTACTTAATGACCATTTCAACTTACACACAGCTCCGGTTGCAAAATTTGGCTTCGACTTGCAACCGGAGCTTTGACTTATGACTGAATAAAAATGCAGGGAAAGCGGGAAATTTGAACTGCTTTCAGTTAACTGTTGAGTCAGCGAAGATGCTGCTTCTCTGTACCCCATTTGCCCCAGCGGTTAGAGAGTGTGAATACGGAGAGAGACTTTGGACTGCCTGGTACTGTACTGTACTGTACTGTATTTTTTGGCTTTTTTATTTTTGCTTTTTGGATTTTTGACTTTCTTTTTTAAAACAGAGAGACTGCCTGTTCTGGGTGAGT